AGGGTGGGGGCATCTGTACCTAGGGCTTGATGAGACAGGTGATAAATCTGGAAGTCATGTTGTGAAGACTGGTATGACATGACTTACAAAAAGAAAGGAAAGAACAAGAATAAAGCTTGAAACTGGCATCTTTTCTTTTAATGCACTTTCTCTGATTACTGGATGCAACAGAAGTACATTAGGATATGTCTACAGGCTCTGGCTTCTCTAGAGTTCTGTAGAAAGAGGATAGAAGCAATAAACTGTAGAGAAAAAAATGGCATAGCAAGAAACCCAACAACAGATCTCCGAGGATGATGAAGTCATATGTAGAATAAATTCAGAAAATGAACAGGCTCTTGTATGAGTAAGAATAACGAGTGAGATTCCGTATGCTTTAAGGCACAAACTGATGGCACGGCTGGTAACTTTAATCAGGCGAAATGCTCATTGTAATTGGCTTTTAAAATAAAACTATCTGGTCTGGCCCACATGCATTTAGCCAGGACATTCCAGTTAATTAGCATCAGCCAGAAATCTCTCTTTCCTGTCCATATGGAGTTTGCATTTTGAGAACTCGAGGAGGTGGTGATGGCACAGAAGACGAGGATGGGAAGGATTTTTTTTTTCTTAAGCTGCAGACATCTATCACTGGTCAAAAAAGAATGTAAACGGCAGTTCCTCTTTAAGGTATTAGAGGCCATTACAAATTGCCTTGTAATAAACTTAAAATGCTTATTTCTGAAACTGGTAATGCTCAGCATATTAATACTGAAGCTTTAACAGTAACCAAATCTTATAGTAAAAAATACTAGTAAGCCCTGCCAAATTCTTATTCTTATCATTAGAAAGTCTTTGCTCATATATTTCACCTGAAGAAATTCTGTCCATCTCTAAACTTGGACAGCTTATACTACTCTTTGACTTCTCTCATGGCTTGTTTAGGAGGTCACAGGCTGTATGAATTGTTTTGGTGATCCATGTATGCTCATCTTGCAGCTGGTTTGCCCTGACAAATAATCTGCCAGAAAACAATTCAGATCTGAATTTCCAGACCTTAACTGCTCTGTGGTGCCCAGACTGCTCTTACCCTGCAGCAAAGTAGTTGTACCCTTCTTTCATTTAATCAAATGTTATTCATTCAAACTGAATGAAAGAGCAGTATCCATTTGCTGCAGGATATATATGCACACAGATATTTATGGCTTAGCTGTCCAGTCGGTGCAAGTCCATAGTTCAGTTCACCTCCTGATAGTGTGTTTACAAGACCACATCCTAAAGATGGTCTGTGAATTTAGAATGAATGTGTCAGTCAAAGCATCCACTAATCTCGTGCAAGACTGGAACAATATTCCCCCGTTCTACTGAGTGATAAAAACCTTTCTTTTCTGTTACACCTTTGATACAGTATTCCCATCAGTCATTCGTTCTTCTCTAGGTTTTAACAAGAGACACCAAATAGCACTTATTTTTTTCTCTAAGCGAAGAGAAATCGCAAACTGTCCCTGGATGACTCCCTTGAATCAGGCTATGACTCAGGTTTCATTTGTTTCCTGTCCTGGCATGCTCTCTTTTGACACATCCACAAGTTTAGTGATGCCTGGAGGAAACAAACAGGTCAGAGCTGGGATTTCTAAAAAATTTCTTTTATTTGTTGATAAAAAGGCCAGCAAAGTATGGTCTCTATAAAGAGTACAACATTAAATCAACAAACAAGGACACACATCCTCATAATTATTAATCACTAACCAAATATCTGCTACAGCAGTAGAGTTTTGCCTGAGAATATCATGAACAAACTCAGGGAAAACAGGTCTCTGCAACCTTGTAAGTCCTTACACTATGGCTCTGACCTTTTCAATCACACGTGGCTTTCCTTATATGCAAATACTAAAGCAATTAAACACTGGGAGACCTGAATCCCAAGATTTCTACGGTACCTCATTATTATTCTTACCTGCTAGATGCTACTTTACTTCTTACTGCTTTTTTTTAGTCTCCTTTTAAACTACAAAGGTAGAACCTCTTGGCAGCTTCTGATGAATGTCTTAATGAACATAAAGGTGAAACATGAGAGAAAGTATTTGGACGTATGAATTGCCATGGTACACTGAATGATGAATATTCCCTGTAATTATAATTTGTGTGTAATACTAGGCTATACGGCCCTGAAAGTTGCTTTTTAAGAACCTGAAATTTAAGAGCTTTATCCAAAGGTTTTCAAATAATGAAATTGTTTTAGGCTACAAGTAATTCAGAGATCACTCATTAAGACAGGAAAGAATGCTTCTGTTATTTAGTGAGAGGTATTTGTATTTCACTTCCTTTTGTCTCTGTTTCAAGAGGCTTGTTGATATGCTACATACATTTACTGCTGACAGCATGCTTGCCTACTCTACTACGCAGTTAAAGAAATAAGAGAAAAATTACACTTTCTCATCATAACCTATTTTCAAGACAATTTAGTACAATGGAAAGTTTTCACTTAACTACAGTTTCAGAGAATGAGACAGAGCACTTACTGATACCTTTTTGCAGCACTTACAGATACTGTGAAAATAAAAAGCTCAAGCCAGGGAAGAAAACCAAGAAGTTGCTATTAGGAAGCAATAACAATTACCTTCTTTTCATTCAAATACATGAAAAATGTTATTTGAAAAGCAGATGTTTACTTCTGTTTGTGTGAGTGAATGTAAATACTTCGAAATATTTATCTATTTTATTACCATAAATGACAAAAGGTAACAGTAACACTGTCCAGTTACTCTTGGCATGCCTCTTGGGAAATGCTTAAACAAACAAGTATGTGTAGATGTGAGTGGGTTAACTGGTACCACACAGAAAAAGTCTATCTGAAAAAGGCATCACATACACCAAGCCTGGAAAACATCTTAGCCATGAGAGTACTTGAAATCATCACAATGACGTGTGAACCTGGTGGTTTGCAGGAGTTTATTTAGGATAACTGAGATTTAGTTAACATCTTGGCATTTAAAAGTTGTTTATGTAATGGGAATATATGTATTTTTTTTTCAAATGTTTACAAATATGCTGTATTTTACTATCTTGGAAACAATTAGAGAATTAAAAATTTAGAGTCCAGAAAAGGTATTTATCTTTCGCTAGGAGCTAGCTAACTGAGAGATGTTTTCACACAGAGAACAGAGTAAGTAAACTTTGAGAAATGCTTTGCCGTATCATTCCACACATATCCAGCTGCACTTGAGAAGAGATACAAACTCTCCTCTTCTGTAAACGGAACAAAAGTTTAAAGTGAGAGGAAAATAAGATCCCACACCTTCTCTCCCATATCTCAGCTGATTTGTTAGCAATGCTACTTCAATTCCTGTGGCAGGGAGTAAAAGACCCCTGAGAAATTCTTGATCTGAGTGATTTCTTGGTGTCAAATTTCACACGGTCAGATGTCGGCATTTTCACTTGAGTACTCTAGTAATTCCTTTATTTGAAGGGTTTGGCAGCTTTCAAATAGTTTTTTTCCAAATGCTTCAATTCTTTGCGTGGCTAAGGTTATAACTTCTTAACTTACGAATGGCTTTCTGCTGTAAACTGGGATTTCTTTGGCTATTGGGGGAGAATAAAATCATGAAAAATGAAAAAGACTTAAGTATGACAGCAGTAACTATGGACCAATAATATAAATCCACAGGAGAGGTAGTACTGAGGTAATCCCAACAGTGAAAAGTACATATTTATACTGTTTTAAAGCTAGCAAAGTCTTACTACAGGAAATAGTTCTGTTGAGTTTTGCCAACAGTTCTGGACTGCCATGTTAAAAAAAGATTAATTTATATCAGGATGTGTACAAAGAAAGTCTGAAAGACTGGTAAAGGGAATGCAAATACAAATCAGGTGAACAATCCTTGACTTAGGCACTAAATGAATCCAAAAAGAGGTCCCCAATCCCCCAACCCCAAAACACATTCTCTTTCTACAACCAAATACTGTGGAATAAAGAAAAAAACAAATATTCTATAAGGTAACTGACAGTACAGATTTAGTAACAAGTTATGTATAGTGACCACTTGAACTAAAAATAGAAGTAAATAGGTGTGTTTTTATAAAATGTTGCAGAATTTTCTTTGATTTTGTGGGTCATTATAGCCTGCATTCACTATACGGGTATATTTAAGGTAAGTTTGTGTCTGAAACAAGGATGAGCAGAAAATGACAGTAAGTGAAAATGAATCTCAGAACTATAACCTGTATTAGCATGCAAGTACAGGCAGATCCTTGAAAAGTAATAACAAGATGTGACTCAACTCAATTTGACAGGTGAAACAAAGGGCAGACATGAAAAGACATTAAACTGGCAAATGGAGTTCCACTTCATCTATCCAATTTTAAGCTAAAGAGCAGTTCACAGAAATAGGAACCTCATGGAAAGATAGCAGAAAAACAAAGGAAAACCAACTCTGTTTCTTCCTATAGCAACTTTCCAAACCCTGTGACAGATGAAAATGGGCTGCAATGCTGATGTAAGTGAGACAGACTTAATTCTATGCCATTGTGAATATGGGACTAATGCTCTACAGAGCACCCCAGGCATAAGAGAGGAAGATTCCCTTATAAGTTACATATGTCTAATGGTAAAGCATTGTCAAAATTTAGACCTTAGCTAACCAAGACTGTCAGGAATTCCACTGGACAGTAAAAAAGCTCTAAATCTTCCCACTAATAAACACATCATAGAATTAATCAAAATTTATGTTGATTCATGATTGCTGAAGTATGATACTGTCCTGAATAAACTACTCATCTGAGGCAAAGTTATATGCTTGATACTGACTTTTCAGTATTCAATTGCTTTCATCCAAAGTAACAGTCACCAAATTATTAAAAATGGAAAATAAAATCTCCTTGAGCAATGTATGCTCTTCATGACATACACATGACTTACTTCTGTATAAAAGACAACATTCAAGATGGAATCAACGCTTTAACTTAAAATCTTTTCACTGGAATAAAACAAATAGCCACATAAAAGCCCAATCCACAGTTACCTGGTTGGTAGAAATTTGGTGAAAGTTCTCTGGCAACTGCTCTTGCAATATCACATTCCTGGCGAGCAGCCTGAGCAGCCTGATCCGCAGCATCAGCTTTAGCTCTTGCATGTGCGGTTCTGTACAAAGCAGAAGAGAGTTTAGATGCAGAGGAGTATTTATCAGTTGTATCAAGCATGTGAGAGCAAAGGACCTCAGCTATCATACACTATGCTGTACAGAGCACTCTTAGGACAAACTGTTGTAAGGAACTGCAAATCAGTGAAGTATTTCAGGATCAAATCACTGTTCCTCTCAGCTCTTCAGTCTGGTTCATCCTTGGATCATACTTACTTGCAGGAACCCAATTTACAGCTCAAGCTTGTAATTAAATTTTCTAAATAGAAAAAAAGAATAGTTTCTGACAGAAACATGGGATTAGGATTTATTTACACGTTACCAGAATGTGCACAGGAGTGTACAGAAGGTCAGACTGGGCCACCATACTGACTCCTAAACAGGGTTCTGGGATTTCAGGACACACAGTGTTCAAAGGGACTGAGGAATGCTACTACCTTTACCACATTTCAAAGTTAATTCTGGGTCAATGCTGGGTGCCATGTAAAAATTTCTGAAGGGCAAAATTCAACTATGTTGGCCCAAAAAATAGGAAATATCTTCCACAATCAGATCAAGTTGGTAAGGAATAGCTTGGAAACTGTGTCTAAGACTTCAACTGGCATTTGTAGAAATGGGACTTAACTGTCCTAAATTCTTGTAACTCACTGAATTTCAAATCCAAAAACAATCTGAAAGGGCAACTTTTCTGAAGTCAAGACAACAATATGGAATACTTTGGTAAAGTAATCTGCACTCTGCTTCCACAATTTATTTCTTGCTGTTTCCCAAAAACCCCCAAGAATAGCTCGTGCAAAGGCCTCTGATTACAGACTGCAAACTGAAAGTTGTGTTACTGCAGGTTTGCACCACTGCTTGTCCCATCTTCCCTCACCACTTCATTTTCCAGTCATCTGCTTAAAAATTCTTGATGGCAGTGATCTCTCTCTGCCTCTACAGCATTAGCACATAGCCTAGAGCTATGAAATGGCTCGTTAGAACAGAGGGGAAGCTAAACATGGCAAACCAGCAGAATATTTTGAGACTCTAAAGATATTATCAACATTTCTAAATGAAATGCATTCAATTTCATGATCCCATCACTTTTCTCATAACATTCTAGTAGGAGAGTGACACAGAAGTAAGAACAGAATTAATTAATAGGACAACAATAGCACCTAATTTTATCCCATGTGCCTGGTAACAGCAATGAATAGCAATTAAATAAATGAAAATTTCCAACAACTTCACCGTAAAAATTCAGTTTCATTTTCAAGACATAAAGAAGGGTTCTATGTGTTTTAGACAAAAGAAGAATTAAATGTTAGCATTAAGCAGAATGAGCATCAAGAGATTAACAGTATGGCAGACTTTGCATTTCTAAAAGGATGTTTAATCCCGTAGGGTACTAGTATAAACACAGACATAAAAAAACCACATAGACAGTTTCATCTGCGGTGCCTGGAGAAGATTTATTTAAGTTACATCCTCCCTAAAATGTGTGTGGGGATAGATGTTCAATGTTCTTTCAAAGCTTAGCTTGTCATAATTTACTGGGTAAATATTAGCTTATGCTGCCTTCTTGCAGGTCCCCCTAGGTCTGTGAGAAAAAAGATAATGAGCAAATGAGTTGTAACACCTTCGCTTTGTACTCAGGATGGGGGTAAGAAACTGTTAATAAAAACAAATCCAGCGTATAACCCCATATGTGTTCTGTGCAGTTCATGAATGGGTGTACGGTATGTGCTCGCTTAGTAACAGTAATCAAACCCGTTCTTTCTCTATAATCATTATTTTCAATTAGAGGAGCTATTCTTAGCTCCTGCATAATTATGTCTATGTAGCATAAACTTAATGAAGCAATTCTAGCACTGGGACATTGTTTTGTGAGACAATAATGTAGTCTGCTCATAGATAAACTAGACACTGGTCATCTTTTTGTGATATAAGAACAACCAGACTACTGCCATATAAAAATAGTCTAATACTATTAGCTACTGGTAAGAGAGATATTTTAAAAGCTAATATGCTAAATAACCAGCACCAGGAAAACACACTGCCAGGATAATACATTTATTTATTGATGCCTATGAATTTTCTATATTATTACATACAAGAAAGCAAAACAGACATTCTGTCGAAAAGTACAGTGTCAGTTAAGGAACTAAATGGTGACATGAGTAAGAAACGAGTGAAACTTTGTCACATGAAGCTGGGCAGAGCAGGTCACACCAGTAAGAAGCCACAGGGACAGAAGGTAAATGAGCACAGCTTTCCTCAGCTGCCTTATCTCACACCTCTTTTTTCTACTCACACTTCCTGCTACTCTGCCCGTTTTGTACTCTCAGTGAGGAGTTCCAGCAGACCAGAACAGGAGCAAGCACTGCCAAGGCATGTCCCAGCAGTGACACACAGGAGCAGAGCCCCAGTGCTGCGAGATGATGCAGCAAGAGGAACTAACCAGCACTGGAGGGCAAGGCACAGGAACATGTTTACACTCCTGAGCAGGCCTTCCACAGCCACACTGAAGAGTGTGCACACGCCTGTGCTGAGACACTTTCCTGACAGCCTGTTCACGCTGATGAGCAGCGACAAAAGTGACAAGAACGGGAGAAAGAGGCAGAGCTGATCCTTCTGCACAGAACAGCAGCTCTGTGCCCTGCCTGGGAACGCGGGCTATGTGCAATCGTTTGCTATTTATCACCTTGGCATTTGCATGCTCTACTGGCAAACTTCAGAACATGTATTTTATCATCTCCATTTGCAACTGCATACTTAGATAATTTTTTAACTTCTTGCACTCTTAATTCTAAGTGTCAGACTCAAATAATTTTTCTGTTGCTATTTATTTTCCTGTTTTTTTTAAATTCTGACATCCACATTTGATCTGCCTGTATGTTTTCCAGATGACTTGCTTACAGTTACTGCTACTAGATACTAAATTTTGTCTGTACTTGTTTTATTCTGCCTTGAACTGACCTGCACACTATAAGACTAGTATTATCAGAAACTATGGAGAAATATTTTAGTTTTGAATGACAACGTTTGTAAAGGAGAACTATCCAACCAGAAATAGAATCTATTTGCTCTGTTTATGCTTCACACAGTTTTGGAAAGCTTTCTTTACCTTTCATTTCAGGAGTAACTTTGTCACTGTAAGGTCTCCGAGTTTTGTTTGCTATCAGCAATTATTCATAGAAATTTAAGTCTATAATATATCACGTCAAAATGACCCACATCTGAATGACCACCATTTACTTGAGACCTGTTTTTTTCTCCAGGGAACTCTATGTCCTTTGCTATGACAAAAGATCTTTATGAGAACTCTTGAAAGCAAAACCCGAAAAAAAAGTCGTCTTCCCTCTCCCCAGCCAAGAAAAAGACTGTGGTAGGTTTTTTCCAGGAAGGATTGATCTCATGTTTCAGCAGCAAAATAGAAAATATGCAGGAAAGAAGGCAGCAATCCACAGATTGTAAAACAGTACAGAGAGATAAGTAACCTGCTTAGCAATGCTGCATTCAGGTTGTAATCCATAGCAAAGTACCTTGAACGATTATTTTTAAGTGAATAGGCAGGTTTTGTAAAAATTATTTCTCAGCAACTGTAATACCTAATACACACTAGTAACTTCTGAATTACTGTGTGGTTATATGTGTATTTCTCCTGGAAAGTATCAGGACTATCACTAATATTCCACATGATGTGTCAAACAGACGCTTGACAGCTTTCAAATGAATACAAAAATTGAAGTATTTACCAAAATCAATTCATATTTAGAGGGACAATCTACCACTTCACTAATGAATGCACAGAGCTGGTAAATTCAATGAAGACAGGGGCTTCAAACTAAGTTGTGTCTGTGGCACGAATCAAACTGTACTCACATTGAATAGGAATTAGTAGCTATAGCTCATGTGGAGTCCTGGTACCACATGGCAGCACATGGAATCCCTACAGATCCCTGGTAGATACCAGTCTCTATGACCAGTGAGTGAGGGCTGGGGGACCAATGACTGACTGAAAACCAGAGAAACTGCATACCAGGATCTGATTTTTAGAGCAGCCTAAGTTTTCTAGACTGTGGGACAGCTGGTATCACTACTGGTATCTTTTTTTTCTGTGTTTCACTGGATGAGTAAACTGGAACACATCATATTAACTACACTCAAAAATTATGAACACAGAGCCACCAGAGTCTTCTTACAAGCAGCTCCTCTTTCAGCAACACTGTGGTCAGATTTCTACCTATTTATGTATGAAAAAAAACTTGAAGGAGGAGTGCTGAGGCTTCAAGAGCTTAAACAATATTATCTCCCTTTCTGCAGCAACAATGCTTATATATAACACCATGTGCCTGGAATGCATTATGTAACGTTTATCTAAATTTAAAACCCATTTAGAACTGTCCATTACCCATCAGATTATTCTGTATTTCCATGGCACCCTTCAATGCACTTGTACTGCTGCCTCATTCAGAGTCAACTAAAAACGTAAGCAGAGTATGTTTATATTGTTTCATTTTTCAGATTTTATTAAACACAGTGAATCCAGCATAAAGCTTTCCAGGAGCTTCCTTTCTACTTTATGAAAATAATTTTGCTTTCCATTTGTTAAATATATACACAGAATTATGCTCCTATCACATTATCCTAAACTAATAATATTTACAATGTTAAACTAACAGATTTCCGCCTTGTAAGAACAAAAATATCAGTAATGGCCAAACCTACATGAAGTTCTCAAGAGGTATTTTTTATTAATGACAGCTATCAGGTTTATCTGTATAACATTACATACTGTGTATGCAATGTTACCCATTACCATCCTTCTTGAAACTGGAATTCTAGAAATCTAAATCCTACCTTCTTAAATTCTAAAATGCAGTGATTGTTCTAGGAAGCAGAGAGTATTGTGTTGAGTTTTTTTTCCAGGTATAAAACTTGTCAACATTTTCACATTTGTTTCTATCTGTCAGAGAAAAACTTTGCAATCTGCAAAATCAAGTTCTGGTACAATTGGTAC